CATATTGTATAATTTTTTTTCCAAAATTTTGTCTGTGAGCCAGTGTGTGTGTGTGTGTGTGTGTGTGTGTGTGTGTGTGTGTGTGTGTGTAAGCACTCATGGCCTTGTTTGAGGCTGGTTTACCTGTGCTTGCTGGTTCCTTCACTGCAGATGGAAGGCTTCCAGGGATTCTCCTCACTCCTCTTCCCATCTAACCACAGAGCTCTGGGATTGTGGAAGCTGCTGTCCAGCTAGCTCTACATGGGTCCTGAGGATTCACACTCAGGTCTTCAAGCTTGTGTAGAAAGTCATTTAACCCTGAGCGATCCAGCATAGTATCCATCTTCCTACTGAGACTTTTATTTCTGTGCTTGATATAAAACTGGAAAAAAACTTTCTTATTTGATTCAATGAGAACTTTGATGCTAGAAAAGCTACCTTTGGCCTACAGAAAACAGCTGACCTGAGCAAGTGGGAGCTCACGAACTCCAGTCTGACAGCTGGGGAACCAGCATAGAACCGAACCAGGCCCAATGGATATGGGTGTCAGTTGGGAGGCCTGGGCAGTCTACGGAGCCTCCAGCAGTGGTACCAGTATTCATCCCTAGTGCATGAATGGGCTTTGGGAGCCCATTCCCTATGGAGGAATACTCTCTCAGCCTGGATACACGAGGGAGGGCCTAGGTCCTGCCCCAAGTGATGACAGACTTTGATGATCCCCATGGAAGGCCTCACCCTCCCTGAGGAGTGGATGGGGGGGGTGGGATGGGGAGATGGTGGGGGGAATGGGAGGAAGGGAGAGGGAACTGGGATTGGTATGTAAAATAAGATTGTTTTTAATTTAAATAAAAATGCATTTTTAAAAAAGCTACCCTTGGGCACCTGACTTCTGCTCATTTCATGCCTTACTCTTGGCATACCTCCACCCTCCTGCTCATATGTTCTGGTCACTCAAAACAGCTTTTCCATCCCTGGGATGTCCTCAGCTATGTAAATGCTACACACTGTGTGTGTGTGTGTGTGTGTGTGTGTGTGTGTGTGTGTGTAATCTCTCCTGGCCCATTCAACACTCCTCTGAATTCCAAGTTAACTATTTGCTTGTAGCTTGCCAGTTTGCTCATTCCCTCAGTCACTGATAATATGTATATAACTTGCTTTCGTATTTGACACTGTGGTGGTGATTATGACCTCAAAACTACCTTGAAGAATCCCACAGTTTCTAACATGTATTTTGATTATGTTATCTCTCTGTCTACCCCCAAAGCTTTCTGAGGTCATAGATATACGAGAGCTGTCTATAATCCTCACAATATTTAAGTTCATTAGTTTTACAAAACAGGTGTTGCATGAACCTTGGTGGAATTACTGTCATCTGCGAGTGATGAGTCAGTAAATGCATAAGTGCATTTTGGTATAACAATGTTGTATAGTACAATGAAGTTTTAAAAAGTGTAGCTATTTTTACGCTCTCCTTATAAAACAAAGACAGTCATACCTTTCTTGCATATTTTTTTTATTAACGATTAGGACTAAAATAAACCAGCTGGCATGTCTTTTGTGTTTAATCAGCCATGGCTATTTAGTCATGATGAACTTTATCTAAAGAAAGGGTAGGGTGGCTTGGTATTACAGAGTGTACTTCTGTTGTTGACTAGCAGGTCTTGAAAACTGAGAAAGGGAACCCTGATGAAGGCTGGCAGCCTAATTGTACATAAAACAATATTGGAGAAAGCCTCGAAGATAAACAAACAGAGAAATAAAAGGACGATTACCCACCCAAATACTAGGATCTGCGCCACCAGATCTCTTCCTGCAGCAAGAGCCAAGGGACACAAAGACATTTGTACTGTGCAATTACATCTAGAATTACAAAAATTTGACAGAACCGTCAAGATCCAGGGTCTGTAAATCCACCTGCTTCCCTGTGAGAACATTCCTGCTGTTCTCTAGAACAAAGGCTAGCATCCCCAA